GGAGCGTGACCCCGCCAGGACACAACGGACGGCTGCGGCACGGGAGGTGGCTGGTTACATTGAGAACATCTCCTTCCAGTACCAGGGAAATATAAACCAGAAATTACTGCCAGGTCTAGCATGGGTACATACTGACAGCTCATCTGTACCCAGGCTGTGGATTTCACAGCGCAAACTTCGTACTCTGGCACCAGTATCTCTAGCAAAGCACTTCAGGGTAATGTAAAAATTTCTTTGAAAGTAGTGGGAGCAAGAAAGCAGGGCTGGCTGGTGGCTGGTGAGGGTGAGAGGAAAACATCCAAGCCAGCAGTGACACTCCTTCATCCTCCTGGCTCCTCGTCTGTGGAGCAGCAGGCTGTTCCCACATGACTGGACAATGGTATTGTGGAGCACTCAACACCAATTCATAAGGATGTGCAAACCTCCCTACAGCTGTCATCAGAGAATTACAAAAGGTCCTCAAGTTGCACCAGAAAAGAGCCACAACTCACAATTCTTAAAAATATTCTGTGTCACAGTCAAGGGTCACAAATTACAAACCCCAACTCTTGAGTCTGACTGACTCCAGAGAGGCTCCAAGTTAAGCAAATCCTGTTGCATGGAACAAATCCTACAACAGCCCACACCCATTTGTATTACAGATAAATGATAACAGAGAATATTCCAGGCAATGCCTGCTGAGTTTCAATTGCTGTATCTATCCTATTACTCCAGTAAGAGCCAACAGTAGGCATTCAGAGACACATGGTGGATCAATTCTTTAACACAACTGACACAGTGTGCCCTCCCCTACTCCAGTTTTGGTTACTCTCAAGCCAAAGGCACATGTCTATTGTATAACGAAAACGCTGAGTGGACAGCAATAGAAACTGTGAATGTGGAAAGAATCCCCTTCCTGTGTTTTGACCAGGACCTCAAGATGGTCTCGTTAGTTTGAAGGATTCATTAGCTCACCTTTATTTCCTCCCAGTATGGGCCTCCTCGGGTAAACATGAAGTAGCTGTAGAGATCATCCTTTTGATGAGAGAAGTAGGGGTCTGTATAAATGTTCACCATCCAAGGTCTGCCATCACCACGGACACGTAAATACAGACTGTTGAAGTTTGACCAGTCATAATACTTCTTCCTGTTAAAAGATCCCTACAAATTATTGATAAATAGAATTACTCCTCTTTAATAGAGGGACACCTTCATTATGAGGAACAGAGCATTGTTGCTTTGATCATGCCCTTGTTATTATGTCAGATAGTATTTACTGTAACACAGTGAACACAGCTACTCTGTTATCACCCTGGCCGATGAGCTCACCGAATTTCCTTCAGCACTACACTGGAGACACAAATTGCAATGTTGCTGCCTTAGGACTCACACTTTCATTATAAGCCACAATCTTGTAACTATCAGAAATCAGACCTCTTTCCTAGGACTGAATTCCCTACCAGGCAGTGACAGATCAGCACTTATGTAGTTCACTAAGTTTAATATTCTGTGGTCAGTTCTAGATCATTCAGAAGCGACGGCAGGAAATTGAAGCAGTGAAATAATTTATCCCCTTTGAAAGCTTTCCAATGGAAGACTAATGAACACTGGGAGCATTTAATGTTTTCTAACTTTTTTTTCATTAACTGTGTGAAATAATAAGATTGCAAGCATGTCTAATTCTTTATTGCATTTTTTCCAAAGATCTGAAAAATCCTGAGATGTTGCCATTTGCCTGATGACATATATCCAAGAGTCCTTCAGTCCTTCTACACTGAAGTCACTTGGAGCAATGAGGGACAGAGGGCAAGGTTATTAGGTTATTCTTGGCTAGACTTGACAAGAAGTCAAAATTAGCACCAAAAATTCAGATTCTTCCCCTTTATTTTACAGCACTACTATGATTACCTATCAGCTATTGTTCTACAAACTCATCTTGTAGGTAACAGAATAAGTAGATTATGAATATATAAATATAAGGCCTATAGCTACTTCATTTTATGGTTTCAACAGTTTTAAGCCTTTTCTACTTAAATAAAGATTGACTGATACACTGCACTACTTAAGAATTAGGAGATAAGTTTGGGTCACATTTTCATAAGTCAGCAGCAGTGCTGAGAGTTTAATTCAGACAAGACTCCACTTGTTCCAGTCATCTGATCTAATGTCACCATTTTAATCAGTCTTCATATGTCTCTCACTTACCCATTGATTTTGCTTACTCATATTTTCTGCTCCCCAAGATTCTGGCCCAGAAATTATTCTACCTAAGCACTTGTGCCAACACACAAACAACAGAACACATTAAATATTTAAGGACTTTATCCAGTCTGTGAAAATGTTCCTCTGCTTTTAAAGGTGCTTAGAAATAAGGGATGAAACAAGCAGTATCCATAATAAGCACACCCATTCCTGGTTCTATTTTGCTCAATTCTGAGCTATCAAAGATTTGTGTCTTGATTTTTTTCTGATGTACAGTAGGAGGCAGACCTTTAAAAAGTACATTTCAAAGCCTTGTTTTCTGCTCCTGTGAAAAAATGATTCATTCACCCTAACCAAGTCTGATGAATAGACCAAGTTAAAGCCCAGAAAATTCTTACTTATGAGACATTCAGTCAATTTCAAATTTAGAAAGATAATCACACCAATTTTGGATATAAAGATTCATTCCACATCCTTCTGCTGCAAACAGGTCTGTCTATTGTACATAAGTAAATGATCAAATATGTATTATTCCTTTTCTAAGAAAGGAAAACGAAATCCAAGAAAAAATTTAAGTTCCTTCCAAGTCAAAGCAGGCACAGCAGCAATTACGTGTCTGAGAGAAACCTGGAAGTGACCAGCAGTAAAGAGCAGGCCACTTGCTGTCACTGGGATTCCACAAACACCCTCAGATTCGTATCAGAAGCTGTGCAAACACGGAGCTGTACTTACCACTAGTGGTCTGGATCTCATGCTGCAATATCCACTGTACTTTGTCTCCCCATCACGAGGCACTTCTGTATTGAGGGTTCCATACAGCAGAGCAGCCTGGTTATTCCTACCCAATTTGATGTAAACTTTACTTTTCCCTCCAATCTCCATATCAGAGGAAATAACCCATTTATTTAAATCTTCTTGGCTCCTAAACTGCCACAACACCCTTGTTTGTTCCAACAAGTGCTGACTTAATGGATGGCCTCCAGGTCCCTTTAAGTAATCTAGCGTTTCCTTCTTCAGCAAGCTTAGTTGAGTCTTCAGGTGATCAATGCTCTTCTTAAAGCTGAAATCAACGTTCTGCCAAGACAATTTTTTCTCAGGCTCTGCCCCGGGCCTCCTGTAGGTGCTGTACAATTTTGAATTGTTGAGGAGAGGTCCCAGTGAGGAGAGTAAAACTTTGTGCCTGCAGCACCCACCATGGAAGGAGGCACCGTTCAGCATCACAGCCAGAGCCATACTGGGCACTTGAAGGATTCACATCCAGTAAGGCACTTAATGGATTGAAAGCTAATTTAACAACAAAACTAGTATTCAGAGCTATCCCAGTTGATCTTCACCTTTAATGAAAAAGAGAAAAGCTTATTTAAAAAATTGCATACAGGATGCTTGTGAAATTATTTAACTTTTATAATCAATACTAGCTAGAAATCCAAGTCATTGGAAAACAGAATGAAAAAACCATCAGGAATGACACTTCCTCAGAGCCTGAGTTTACTTATTGACTTCCACCCTATGCTTTCCCTTCTGCCCATGGTGTAAAATCCCCAATGCAAATAAGAAAACCCAAGTAAACTACTTAAAAGTGAAAATATAAAAGAAAATACAATTTATCTTCATCCCTTCTACCAATACATTTAGTGTTATGGACAACACCAGCAAAAACAACCCATGAAGGTTTCTAAAAGATGACACCTATATAACTAAAAAGTTTTATTCCTGCATGAAAATCACAAATTCACAACAGGTAGATGCTGCTGCCACAATGACAAACATGACAACCTCATCTGACACAGGTGACAAGACTTTTCAAATACTGTCCTGCAGCAGCCATACCATAATCTTCTTCCAAGTCATCCTCAATATACCTATGCTAGGATTACAGAGACATTTGCAAAGACTGAAAAGTTTAACATGAAAGACTACAATTCAATGTGTTTTTTTTTAAAAATAAGGCTTTAGGAAAACTCTTCTCAATGCTCTGTACAAGGCTATTTTCTCTTACTTGTAAATTTATACATGGGTTTTTTTTTTGTTGCTGTTGTTGTGTTTTTTTCATGCCACAGAACAAAACCAAAATTGATGTCATATGCATGCAATTTCTGTGAGCTTTTAGGAACAGAGTCAGGCACCCCACTCACACCCTCTATATGTCACTCACCTTCCTTTACTCACTGTAAAATTTACTATTGTTATTCTCACACTCTAATTAAGTTATGCCTAAAGCTACACTGAAGCAGCTTTTAGAATTCACATTTCAGTAGCTTAGGATTCACATTATTCTGTGTCGTGCACTTCACACGACCGGAGGCAAGTTCGCGATCAAGTAACCCTGTCTCCTCACCGCCTCACCCAAGTGCAGGAAGAGAACGGAGAATTTGCATACGTTCTACTTCAGCCCGGTTTTTGTCCCTCGGCAAGGCTTTAGCGGCTGCGACGCCTCGGCTTCCGCCACGGCCCCGCTTGCGCCGCACCGGCCGCGGCCTGGGCGCCGGCCCGGAGCCCGCCCGCACGACTGAGCCCGGCGGGCAGAGGCGAGGCCAGGACGGGGGGGCGGCGGCCGAACCCCGTCCCCGCAGAGCGGCCGCCTCGCCGCTCCTGCTCCGCGAGCGACGGACCCCGGCACGCACACCGCCTCACCTTCCCGCCGCCGGGTCCGCCGCGCCCGGGCCGGCCAAGGAACGAGCACCGCGCCGCTCCGGTTCCGCCGCGAGCGACGGCGGCACCGACGTCCCGCTTACAGCGGCGGCCGAGGCGCGACCCGCGATCCCCGCGGGTCTCCGGGCGCCGGAGGAGCGGCCGCGGGGAATCCTCCTCCTGCTCGGGGCCGCCGCCGGGACCCGGCCCGCCGCCCAGGCCGCCACCGCCGCCGCCGCCGCCGGGGCGGGGAGGGGGCACCGCCGGCTCCGCCATGGTGAAGAAACGGAAAGGCCGTGTCCTTATCGACTCCGACACCGAGGACAGCGGCAGCGAGGAGAACCTGGACCAGGTGCGCGGGCAGGCCCGGCCCGAACGCGGGGCCTGGGATCGCCGGCCCGCGCGAGGCTCGGCGCCGCCATCCCTCCCTCGCTCCCGCCGGTGGTCCCGCGCCGCTCTCGCCCTCCTCAGCCCGATGGGGCCCCGCGGCCGCCGTGCGGAGAGCCCGCGTCCCTCCGGCGGGTCCCGGCCCGCCCCTGGCAGGAGGCCCGCGTTGGCGGGGGCTCTTTGCAGCGGGCCCGGTGCTCGGCGCCGGCGGGACGGAGGGGCGGTGGATGCTCCGGGGCGATGCTCCGGGCGGTCTGGCCCTGAGGAGGGGTTAGCGAGGCCCGGCTGCCAGCGGTCTCCTCGCCTCGAGTAGTGGGGAAAGAGGCCCAAAGGGCTGGGCAACTTTTCCATGCTACTTTGGTACGCCGGGAGAAGAGCGTGTCAGGTCCCTGCCTCTCCTCGGGGCAGGCAGGCTCCCGAAGTGTTAATGCGTGTTTAATGCGACCCTCTCAATCTTGGTGACTGTGCTGGGGAGCTCTGTTGGTGGGAAACCAGCCTGTAGATGTAAGAAGGGGTAGTGTTTATTTTTTTGTCATCGGAGCATCTCCCGGGGCTGTGGTGTGAGTTCAAACGTGTCGGGGTTGCAAAAGGGATGTCTCCCCCTGTGGAGCAGGCTGCTTTCAAAGATTCCTCTTTTGGTGTAGCAGGTATTGATGGTGTGATTCCAATGGTAAATAAAGACATTGTAGGTGAAGTGTGTTGGAGCATGTATGGCAGTACTTGGTCCGGGGAGAAGTTTGGCGGGTTGAATATGCTGAAGCCGACATGTCTGATGTAATTTATTTGCTGGACCTTCAGAGTTTTTAATATAGAAGCTGTTGCTATGTTGCAATAAAAAGCCTTCCCAAACACACAGAAATACTTTTGCAGATTGGGGCTTCAGAAAGATCAGATCAGATCCTCTGTTAAAACAAATACACTGGAGCTGCTGTGGTTGGTCTTGCATAGCTCCAGAGTCCTTAGCACTGCCAACATCTCGCTGCTAGTGTATCAGTTTGAGAGTTTTAGAACTTGAAAATGGGAGCTGGAGTAGCTCTAGCATAGTCAGACAATCGGAGTGATGGTGGTAGGAGTAACCACGTGGATCTGCATCTGTTCCATCCCTCAGTGGCAGCAGGCATCTGCAGCTGTACCTGAGGAGTAGGTGCTTCCCCCTCCACTGAGCTGTTTGTAGTAACTGTGACAGCAGGGAGGTGTGTGCAAAGATGAAGATCAGGTAGCAGGGAAGCCATGTTTTTGAAATGAGAGAATACTGACTTAAATGTTAAATACTGATTAAATGTTTGACAGCTTCCTGTGGCAATCTAGGCTTGTCGAATCAAATGGCTACCAGCCTTTTAAATATAGTATCGTGGAAAATAGAGAACAAATGTAGAAAGAAAAAAAAAAGAATATGGCTTTAAAGTGGTGCTTCTCTTCAAGAGTTTCCCAAAGAGAAGCACTGCTGAAGCTTCTTCAGGAGCTTCCAGAGATCTTTTGACTGTACAAATGTGCTGTGTTGATGTTGCCGGGCTTCTTTAGAGAACGGTTGGTAAAATGCCAATACTAATGAACTAATGAAAAGTTTCTTGGTTAGTAGGCAGACGATCAGCTTCTGCAGTGTTTATGTTCTCATTTGAGGTAGTAAATTGTAATCAATTTGTTGAGATAATCTTCCAGTTATGAAACTAATGGAAACCAATCCAGCATCAACTTCCCAAGACTGCAGAAGTTGGTGTGGCTGTATTTCTACACACAGCTAAGACTCATTATCCCCTGAGTAATGTTTCTGAGCATAGATTCTGTGTCCTGGAACACAAAGACAGTAGCACAGCTTCAAAAATGTTTGTTTTGTGCTACTGCTTGTGTCACCTGAACAAGTGATGAACAGCAGATGATGAGAGTATTTGAGAGCCATGTAGTTCTTTATGTGGGTGTGTGTTGCCTGTGAAAGTGTTTCCTTTTGAGCAGAACAGCTCTAGTGAGTTTCACAGACTTTGAGCTCGATACCTGCTCTGTGTCTGTCCTAAGCTTTAAGTGCATTCTGGGGCATGTACCAGCAGTGAAAAGGAATTTAACTAAATATTACCAACCACGATGTAAAAGTGATGCCTAAAGCATTTCCCCTTTAAAGAGTATAATTGCAAACATTTCTGTTGTTTAGGAAAAGAAGCTGCTATCTGCTGGTATTTGGCTTTTTCAGGCTGATGCTTCATGGTGTAGTTAGGGTGGTTTTGAATTATTACCCAATCCAAATAAGACAGATCTGGACATGACTCTGAAAGTAATTTGTCTTACGTTGTTTATGCCAAGAAAGTAATGGTACTAATAGTTACCTTTTATAACTTGTTATCTTTAAAATCCTTTTGTAGCATCCTGTATTAAAACTGTGTATTTATCAAACATAAGTAGACTTGTTCCTTAGTAGGTGGCAATAACCGTGCTGCTGAAATGTGCTCAGATATTGCAGAGAGCCTGTGTGTGCACTGACCTGGATTGTTACAACTAATTTTGCCACTTTGAAATAATTGTGTGTGTTTTTACACCAGGAGCTCCTGTCATTGGCCAAACGGAAACGCAGTGACTCTGAAGAAAAGGAGCCACCTGTGAGCAAACCTACAGCATCTTCGGACTCTGAGACATCAGACAGCGATGATGAGGTGACTTTATCATGTTATCAGTGACATTGCTGTGGGTTGTCTGAGCATTCCTAAGCAGTGAAAGTGTATTTATCATACAGTGTATTTAACCTGCTGACTTCGTAAGATGGGACTGGCTGTCAGTGATGGAGACTGATGGACACCCATTAAGGCCAGAGAATTTTTTTTTAAATGAATATATTTGAATTCTAATTGTATACAAAATAGTCTGTATACAGAAAAGATGATTGCCAGTTTAATCCCATGTTCATATGGTGTGGAGAGCTGCCTGCTTTAAACCAGTGTTTGTCCTGTGTTGTGCTTACTGCTGAAGTAGGAGTGAAGCTACTAAAGCTGGACTGTGAATTCAGGGAGTGAGATTTTCACCTTTTGAATGGAGCTTCCTTCCTAAGAGAAGGGTCAAGGCAGATAGTATATTTTACAGGTAGTAAAACTGTTCTACTTAGCTACTTTTATTCTCCAAGAACTGTGCTGTGAATTAGCTGTCTGGCCATTTGGATATGCAACAGGGTGTGCTTTGATTTACATCTTTGAAGAAAGAGACAAGAAAGAGTTCAGCATGACTTTGTTCTAAGGTTTCTCAATTTCTTGTATAACAGTGCTTATCTGCTGGTTCTGTTTTTTAGTATTTGTTCTTGGTACTACAGTCTAGAGCTGGTTAAAAGCCTGTGCATCTAGAAAAGAAAATGAAAAAAAAACCCTATTAAAACAGGCACTGACAAATGTTACACAGGTATTTGAGTAAAAGCAATTTCTGGAAAGCTTACAAGTATTTTTGCACACTTTCTGCAAATTACGGTGAGGTCATTTATTCCACCTATTCTTAAACATTTGACAGGGAGGTGTTTGGTGTGGGTTTTTGTATTTTTTTTTCTTCTAAAGTAACAGTAACAGATTATCCATTGTGGCAACTTGCAGACTAACAGGGTAGGCCAGTGATAAACTATAAAGCATTTGTTAGTGTAGCAGAGTTCTTCCAATAAGTGTGAAGAATATACAGTTTAATTTTCTTTCTGAGGCATTTTTAAAATAAATATGCTTGGAACTCTGTTCCAAATCAATCATTTTCTTAAAAAGCCTGCTTCTTGTATGTCTAATATACATTAGAGGAATAGAGACAGACAAAATTGTGAACAACCTAGATATATTAGGTTTCATATTGGGGAACTACTCAGTCTGTCACGGTGTGTGTTCAGATCTGCTGGCTCACAGTTTATTTATTCTAAGTTATGTGGAGACAAGCTTGTCTGGAAAAAGTAGACTTGGGTGTGGAGAGCATGTGGATGATAAAGCTTTCCATTCTGTGTTTATCTCTGAAAGCTGTCAGAATTTTAACTTGTCTAATAAGTAAGGTCTGCCTTTTTATTATGCGTAGAATGTGACAATACCTCTTCACAAATTTGCACAGACCTTTGTGATCAGCAGTGCTACTGTTGCACCTAGCGTGTTTGATACTCTTTCTAATCTGCATCTCCTTTCAAATTGATACTATGTTCTTTCTGACCTCCATGCAGCAAGAGGAGAAAGATTTAGAGAAGAGGTAATTAGGACACTTGCTTCTATTCCTGTGCCTGAAATATGCATTCTGAACTGCTGCTTGTCACAGCAGGATGAGTGGCTGGCTTACAACAGTTCTGCTTCTGCCAGTCATTCTGTTCTGTGTGTCCCTGGGCTTGACTACACTAGTTCTGCTGAATAACTCAGGTTTTAATAAGTATTCTTGTGGTTGGTTTGAAGTTTGTTCAGGCTTGGGAATTAGAATGGGGGGGGTCTAAACGTTGAATTTATATTATTGGACTTCCTGCAAGGTGGAGACCTTGAGGCAAAAGCATAGAAATTGTTGCCCTGGACAAACGTGCCTAATCATACCCATGTGTTTCCACAGAGGCTTTTCAGTGTGCATGTCCTTTGTGATTCCTGGAAAGCACTAAATGTTCCAAGATTGGCACTGTGTTGCATGTACAGGAAAGAAGCCTAACTCTATTGCAGAGCATAATGCAGCATGCTGCTTTCTTTTAGAGGGAGAAAAATTTGTGGGGCATAGGGGAGAGAAAAACATTTTGGAATTACTGAATAACAGCAGGTACAAATCATGCTGCATCTATACAATAGTGCCCAAAGGATGTCACTACATCTTTAATGTTACATTTATGTGTTCAGTGAGAATGTGCTTCTCACGCGGATGCTGAGTTCTGTAACACTTCTGTAACCACCTCTGTGGTCTGAATCAAATTTCCTAGCCACCAGACCGAAAGTGAGTTGCAAGCAATGAAATAGGAGGGATGCTCTGAAATGTCTTCTGGTGGGACATTCTTGACTGAATTACTATAGTCTTTTGTTCAGAGAGAGATGACTGCGAGTTCAGTGACTGCAGGGCTTTGTAATGAGGAGAGCTACCTTTGCAAAGAGATGTACTAATCTGGACACAGATGGCTCCTTTATGTGGTGTGTGACCATGTCTGCTCAAGAGCTCACCATGTTAAACTGGTAGCTTTCTGCATGTAACCAGTTTGGTGCTAGCCAGGTTACTGCTGGGGCTACCATGCCAGAGGTTTGTGAGTTCACAAAGTGTTCTTGTTACTGATTGAGGACATTAGGTGGATGATGTTCCTCAGTTGCAGCAGGTTAATTCTGGGCTCTTGCTTTTCCTTTTAAGCATCTTTGCTTACAGTAAGATAATTCATTCTATTGTGTGAGAAGAGTGGATGACTTCTGCAACAACTTCACTGACATTAGTGTTGATTAGACAGAAATCCACAATGCTACAGGAGCTCCTGTTTGTTTCTCTTGACAATTGCACTCATTCTAATGTCAGGAAGGGCTCAGTTCTGCCTTTCAACACCTACAGGATAAGGACAGAATATCCTTCCAGAACTAGAAAACTTATATAATGAGTGCTGAGTACTGTTCTGGAGTTTAGTGAGGATTATCTCTTTATACCTTTTTCTACAAATGTGCTAAGTTGTTAGGGAGCTGTATAACTGAGGATCTTGTCAAGAGCTATGGGACAGAGGAGGAGGTGAGCTGTAGTCATGTAGCTAGTGAGGAGATTGGTTTCAAGTGACAGCCTAGAGGGTTTTATGCCTCTTTGTATCTCCTTACTGCACTTCAGTTAGGGCACTCCAGCAAAGCACAGATGAACAGAACACTGCATGTGTTCTTTCTGTTTTGGCGATGTCTTTTTATGGGTTTGTAGAAATTACAGTACTGAATGTTGACTTTTCCTGTGCTCTTTTATTTTATAATACTGCTTAATTAAACCTTCAAAAATGAGTGGGTTCTCCAGTACTATGAGGCCTTTGCCACACATATTTTTCAAGCTTAGGAAATTTGAAGCAGGCCATGGTTTAATCTTCTTATACACAGCTTATAGACTGTGTGCTTTGTAACTGAGACTTTTCCTGGAGACAGTTTCCTTCAGCCATTAATGGGTGCAACAGTAAAGCTTTTCTCAAGTAAGAGAGGTGGTGTTGCTTCCTCCTCTCCAAATACAGGGCAAGTGCAAATCTGAATAGCACAAGCAAATTGTATGAAGGCTGGCATATCCAAAGGAGTAATGTCAGTAAGCTGTGGACAAAATTGGTATAAAATTTAGTCTGTAACTAACTTCTTTAAATTGCAAGCTAAATAGCATGGAGATAACTTCTTGGGATTTGATTTCTGGGAGCTTCTTGGAGCTGTACTTGAATGAAAAAAGTATATCAGGTGTCTGGTGGTACTCTAGCCCATGAAGCCTTCTTCACCTAGTTCCTGGGAAAGCCTCTTCTGTGGCTTCCAAAGGTGTTTTCTTTATTTGCTTATTTCCATTTTGGTGTTCGTACCTAGAGTTTCCTCTCTGTGTCTAAAATAGTTCTTGAAGTTTTCTGATTGCTAGGCTGTTGTCATGATGAAAGTGTTTGAGGTGTTCACATGACAGGTGTAGATCCTGAAAGACAGGATGAATAACAGGGGCTTTTTATTTACTATTTCGTTTTAAAAGTAGTGGTAGAGAGCATTTTCCTCCTTGAAGCTCTTGGAGTGCTGTCTGTAGAGTTTTCCAAGCTTTGAGAAAGCCTGAAGACAGTAATTGCTGCCTTATTTTCATGTCTGTGCTTCCTGCTGTTGAGTTCAGATAGGCTGAAACTGTAGTTTCATGGCTTGCCTGGTGGACTGCCTTATTTTTTTCCTGTATGAATTCATGAAAATTTGTAAGCTGAGCTGATGTTACCTAGCTTGGTGCGCTGAAATGCAATGACAACAGGACAACTGAAGTTCATCTGGCCTTGGAAAAGAACACATTGGTAAGGGACCTATTTTGCTTTGATCTTGTGGCTTGTAGTTTGCATTTTGCTTATGAAGCCATTGGATGTGGCAGAAGGGAAGGATATGGAAGACAGGCTGGCAACCTTACTTGTGCATCTCTGGCTTGATAGGGGGTCAAAAAAAAGCTGGGAGAACACCTATTTGCAAATCAAAATCTCAGTGTGTAATGCATTTAGAAACTGTGTAGAAGGAAACAGAACTATTGAATAGAAGGAAACAGCAACTACCTGAGCAGTAAAACAGTTCTGCACTCTAAGCTCACTTCAGGTATAGGTTTTTTCCTTTTTTCTTCTCCACAATCTCATTTAATCTCCCTACTGGAAATATGTTCCACGTTTGCTGAGCTATAAATTATTTTCTTAAATCACTTTGTGTAATTGTTTTTTTAGAAGCTGACTTATAAATCTAGGTAATTTCTAATGTGATGAGTTGGGCTTTTTTTTCCCTAAGTCCATTCTGGTTACTGTGGCTTAATTTGGACTTCTTAGAGTCAAAGAATTATTTAAATTGACAAGGACCTTTAGAATCATCATGTCCAACTGTTTCTTGAAGGAAACATGCAAGCTATTAGCGCTGTGAACCTTGGCAGCAAGAGGAAATTTCAAAAGGCTCTTCTGGCTACTTCTTGTGAGAGAGCCATAAAGCTCTGTTGTTTGGTAGTGCTAAACAATGAGCAGAAAGCCATGTTGCAGTACACTTGTGCACGGGTTTATGAACTTGCTGTGTCTGGAACCATGGAAGGTTCCAGATGGTGGCCGAGGCGGCAGTGGTGAATAGAGGGGCTGTTCCCAGGAGGCCATACAGCCATGGGAGGCATGTGAGAGGCATTGCCTGGGGCTGCCTGACTGCAGCGTGGAAGAGGGGACCTGGAGAAGCAGCAGTAGAGGACAGATTTTGGAAAGTGATTGTTGTTTGGAATAAGGGAAAAAGAGCAAAGAAATGTTTCTGACTATAACTAAGTACATTTTTACTCGATGTTGCATGTGAACATTTTTGATTTCTACTGGTGTGCTGGAGCATGAGGAAGGGACTCAAGACTTTGGTTTTCCAGTATTTCCTTCCCTCTCCCTCCTAGACACAACTAGTGTCCTCCTCTGTTGCAAGAAGAAATTCATATGGTCACTCTTTCTGAGCAGTGCAGATAGGTCATTGAGTGTCCAGCTGACAACTGCAGCAGCATCCAGATGCAGAGCAATTTGTGAACCTTGGAGTCTTGTGCTGTGTCCTTGTTTTGAGTGGTCCAACATTTGTCCTAACTCTTGTCTTGTCTTATCGTGTCTTGTTTTGTTGTGTAGTTGTTCTGGGAATAACCAGGCATTCATGAGAGATTGAGGTAACTGAATAAGCCTAGAAGCAACTGAGTTGGGTAAGAATTTGGCTTTGTGACAGTACTGAAATTGGAAGGTGGACATAGAGGTCACTTGAATGAACAGCAGTGAGATGAAGTGTTATCTCCAGGGTGAAATAGAAACCAAAGCACACTTTCCTAGATGAGAGAGCAGATTTTTTAATTACCTTGTCCTCTGTTGGTTTGTTTGGGTGGTTTTTGGTTTTGGTGGTGTGGCTTTTTGTTTGTGGGGTTTTCTTCTGTTTTTGCTTTGAGGTTTTTTGGTCTTTTTTTTTGTTGTTGTTGTCCTTGTTTGTTTGTGTGAGTTTGCGATTTTTGTTGTTTGGGTGGGGATGTTTTTGTTTGGTGTTTCTTTGTGAGGTTTTTCCTTTTTTTGGTTGTTGGTTTGTTTTGGGTTTTTTTTCCAAGTGTTTGTCACATAGGTTTCTTTTCAGTCCTATCTTCCTGGTCACAGGTTTTCTCCACAATTCTACTAGTGAGTTAAAAGCTGAAAACAGTGATATGTAACACGCGTATGTACAGCTATTAAACATTTTATTCACTGAAGTCCTGCTGGTTTTTATCTGATCATAGCTTCTTTCATCTCAGCATGACCTCTCAAGGTCTTGATATAACTGTGCTGTCTACTGTGGCTTTCTGTGTGCTGCTTCCTTGCTGTGCAGCATGCTGACATGAGGTATAATTCAGCATTAGAACACTGAAAAGAAGTGGCAGAGCTCTGGGAGGGAGGCACCTCTGCATCACTGCTAAACACTGAGTTTCACTTTTCTTGCTGTTGTGTCTTCTCTGGTATGCTGGTGGTAGGTGAGTGTTTGGGCAAATAGCAAAAACACACTTTTCTGTTCACCTGGGAGATGATTCCCTAATGCTGAGATTTGAGTAAATTTAGACAAAGTGCAAGCTTGTTCTTTACTGATTTATATGAGCATAGTACCCAGAAATAATACTAGACAGCAATATTGTAACACTGAACAAGTAAAACTTTAATGCTGAAGCCAGTAAAAACTTCAGTACAAGCTCAGGCTGGTATAAAGTCAGAAGCTTTCTGTGCAGCTTCTCACCTGCCCTACAGACCATAACAGACTGGGGTACCTGCATAGCGTATGAATTGCAAGGCTCACCACTGTACTTTTACCTCAGGAACAAAACAAAACCAGCTTTTGCCTTGACAGAGACTTGAATACTCTCTCTGACAGAGACTTGAATGGTGCCTGAAGTACGTGCTGAAGCATTTGGTAATATGGAAAGTACAAGGTTGGGTGTGACAGTAATCAAAACCTGGGAAATTCCAAAGGTATTTGTTCAGGTATTGTTAGATTAGGTAGTAGCTTGAGTTTCATCTAGAGTAATTCAACACCTTCTCTGAGGGGTTCTCTGAGGATGGTGTGTTATCAGGCAGAACAATTTATCAAATTTGATGGAATGATGACTGTCTGCAGAGATAGACTTGATTTATCCCCCAGGATAGTGATTGGATAAGAAGCCTGAAGTTTGTATGGGTTTGAGGTCAAATCTAAGGTGGTTTTTTTTCTCACTTAGAGTAGTTTTCAGTGCAAGACCTCAGTTATGCATAGTTGTATTTGCTCACTTGCATTATGACTGGTTTTTTAAGACTGCATGTTCAACCAGATGGTGATGTGCATGAAAGATGAGAATAATATACAGGTATTAAGAAGATTTGTGTGTGTGTGTGTATAAAGCCTGAGGGTAAGAATTTCTAGAAGGAGGTGGTGAAGTACAAAATACTGTAATGTCTTTAAGTAACACATGGGCAATCTTTATTGCTTCTATTCCCTTCTGGCTTTACCCAGGTAGTTGCAGCAATGTAAAAATTCTATTAAGAAATCACACTGTAAGGTAAATACTATTTCTTCTGGGACTTTGGGATTTAAAACGGCTGTATGTCTGGTGTATGTCTGGGGGTGTAAGTCCTGAACTTGGAAACTGTGGTCTGAGTTAACTGAAAATATGACATTAAAAGAAAATTAAAATTAGGACTTGATACTGTATTTCTTCTTTTTTTTTGCCTAACTTCTGTGATCTGATTTGATTCTACTTCGTGTACGTAGTGGGTAGTGCCACCACCTGCATCTATGCTATCACTGTTAGCTTGTTGCATAGAAATACAGACACTGTATTTTTGGTAAAACCGAGATCTTGAAAAGGCTGTCGTGTATAACTGGTGTCCTTTATGAAATGTAGAATCTGCTCCTGGTTAAACTAGTTCTGGAAAAACATCAGTTGCTTCTGTTTAATAGTAAACTGAAGCTAATCTTTACAAACATATTGGACACATTTTTAAAAAATTGTTTTCTTAGGGAAATATTTTCAATACCTCCTTGCTTGGCAGATATTGCCAACTTTGAAGTATTCTTTATCTTTTAAAAGCAGTTACCTACCAACTGTTAAAACTTGGGTTTTTTTCAAAGGAAAAATTTCAATCAACCACACAACACTCTACTCCCAAAAACCTTGTAAAAGGCTCTCATTTATGTGATAAGTTTCCTATTGCCTTCCCTTTTTTTTCTCTTCTTTACACTTGTATGATTTTTTTTGTTGTTGTCAGATATTGGGCTATTTCCCAGCTGGTTTTACTCCAGTGTTCTAGAGAAGGTAGAAGAGAGTGGTGTTTGTGTCTCATGATCTCTTTCTTCGTTCCTTCCTTGCAGTGGACTGTTGGAGGTTCTAAAAACAAAAAAAAGGGAAAAGCGGGTAAGGCAGAGAAGAAAGGAGCCATGAAGAGACAGATGAACAAAGCTGCCTCTTCTGGCAGCTCGGATAAAGACAGCTCGGCTGAGAGCTCGGCGCCTGAAGAGGGTAAGATAATAGATGTGCACTTAGTTAGAGTGATTCCAAGTGAACTTACCTGTTGTGTACCCCGAAGAGAAATGTTGCATGGTGATGTTGAAGACTGTCTTCAAAGATTTTTAGTTGTGTAACTTACGGTCAGGGTAACTTTTACATTTACTGTGGCTTAAAGTAATACAGTGTAGCATTGCTGTGAGCACTCCATTACAACTGCAAACTAAATGCTATTTCAGCTGAAGAATGAATGACATTTCATTGCTTGACTTTCTCCTGGAAAATTCTTTGCTTCCTTCTAGCATGTCCTACCTACCCATGTGGGTAGCATTTTTGATTCTCATTGACGTATTTTCCCATCCCAAACTTCTTGTGATAACAAAGGGAAAGGTACATAGTATTTGTGATGCAAATAGGAGCTTATCTTTTATGCATTTGCTCTGAATTGGAATTCTTGCACAGAAGAAGAAAAGAAGAAAGAAAAATCATTCTATAACTTTGCCAGAATTTTTTTACATGAATATTGAGTACATTTCAATGCTGGGCAGACTTCCTGTCTTCTGTTTTCATCATGTCCATGAAGGTTTGCAGGTGCTTACTTGCAATTTCCATTGATACTAAAAAAGGAAGTTTAAAAAAGTATATGAAGGAGCTTACAGTTTTAAGTGTATCAAGCACAGCAGATACAGACAAAGGCATGGAGTGAGTGCACCTGTATATACCAGTGTTACAAATCAAGGGTTTTCACAGTGAGCTTGCAAAACTGGAAATTTCCAGAAATACTAATACCAGAATGGAAGTGAAAGAAGGAATCCTAGTGGCCTGCTTTCGTAATTCAGTATAATTTAGTCAATTAGGTGAGATAATCAAAGGGCCTGGACTTGGATCAAGTTTAAAAATGGTATTACCCAATACTTTAGGGGAGTCAGCTGTTCCCTAAACCCCTGTCTAGCTGGGATAGTGTCAGGGCATTGCCAGCCCTGAGGATATTGTTTTCAACTTCATCTCCTGGTGTAGCAATTCAGAGTGTTGCGGTCTTCACATGACTAATTTTGGTCCTTCATGTTGCTGTAATGAGGTGGTTAATGTGCAGTTCCGTGGTGGTTGACCATGGTGTTTGAGATGTGTGCACACAAGTTCACGGCTGTATAAGCAGCTTGTCAGGGACATAAGCATATAGGCATAGAAGTCTAACTTAAAGACTGCAACACATTGTTAAAAGGCCTTTTAAATTTGTTTGTTATACTGAGAATTTTTAATTATAACCCAGTTTGTATTCAAATATGGTACCACTCATTTTATAACTTTTTTTAGCATACATATATTATGGTAATTTCAAGCTGGCCTTTAATTTCATTATATGTATGTTTTTGGTATAGTGGAAGATAAGTATAAAATTAATTCATGTTATCCCTTGCTAATACACTATAATGAAGTGACTGGGCTTTGTCCCACCTGAATCTCACGACCTTATATTTTTGATTTAGGAGAAGTCTCTGACTCAGAAAGCAACAGCTCCTCATCTAGCTCAGATTCAGATTCTTCATCTGAAGATGAGGAGTTCCATGATGGCTATGGAGAAGACCTGATGGGTGATGAAGAAGACCGAGCTCGACTGGAACAAATGACGGAAAAGGAGAGAGAGCAGGAACTGTTTAACCGGATAGAGAAGAGAGAAGTGCTGAAGAGAAGGTGAATTTTATATCTGTTGATATTTGGTAGCAAATTCTTAAAGGCTGCATGGGGAGTATTCTGACTGTGCTCTCTTGTTTAAGGTCCAAGCATTCAGCACTGTTAAGTGAGTTAAGCTTGATTGTATATTTTTTGTAACTAAACTGTCCCTGTAGTAGTTAAGAAGCACACAGTGGGAGTTCTGCATTTTCTTGTAGGAGACAGTATCTAAAAGTTTCTCAGCTGTTGAATATGCATGGTTCTATCAGCTACCCTTGTAGTTATGTTACTGCCCCATAGGTTAGATGCCAGACAGTCAGAAGGCCTGCTTTTTCTTCATATTTTTTGTATTAACTGTCATGTGCTGATGCTTTGGAAAAAGGCAAACAAAGCATAAGGTGTACATGAGTTTCTGCAATTTTTCAGAAAACCATGGTGAAACACAGATCAGTGTAAGGGTTGCCTGTATGTGGGTGTAAAACTGCTTTGGGCCCTAATAGAAGGTAGAGATACTGAAATAATGAGGAGTGGTGTTGGATATGTCCTTTTCATGGAATCTTTTGTGGATTTCTACCTTATGTACTGTTGTTTTGTTGTTTGTCTGTAGCTGTTACACTGTCCAGGCAGCTTCTTTGTAGTAAAGGTATTTTACTTCCCATGTGTCTTAATTGAAAGGATTTGGCATGTATGGGACAAGGTTTCTCGAGTTTCTTTCTTCTTTAGTGCCTTCTCTTTTCTCACTTGCTGAGAAATTTCCCTAGAGAACTGACATCTGTTGAGTAAATCATGTCAATACAAGCGACTGCCAAACTGTGTTTGTCCAAACCATAGCTAGAGCACTGCCTGCCTGCCTTGATTTTAACACCACATTCAAAATCTGATGTGGTCTGCTGCTCTCCTCAAAGGGATCAGAATGATTGTAAATTTGGATTTAGATCATGTAGGACATCATATCTTTCAAATTTTACTCTCTATTTCATGGTAACTGAATGTCTCTGTTTTAGAATGAATGCTGGAGAATGCCTGATACAAACAAGCTAAATAGTCAAAGCTTGAGTTACTGATTTAATCTTAAATGAATTTGTGCTGTCTGTGTAAAGTCTTGGCAGTTAGAACTAAGGGGGTAGTGGGGTAGTCATTTATGATAAGTTGAATCTTTCAAAAGCTCTTTGTATGCACATCATGCTGTGAGTTCATTTGGATTACAGCAGACATTGCATCTGATATAATGCCTGTGCCTTGTGTGTCATGCTTCATGTTAAAGGCATAAAGCTCATTTGACTTCAGTTTGTTGTTTACAAAATCCAGGTGTAAAGGACTGAAGAGGAATGGACTGTGCATTTGGCTAACACATTTTGAATTTCAGTTTTTGGAAGATATTTTTTTTTCTTGTGTATGTCCATATGCACACTTTACTAAAGCAATGACCAGTCCAGGGTGCAGTGGAATCTCGGTATCGGGTCTGTTCCCTTGAAATTACTACTCTTCTGACTTCAGTGGCTAAAAATAAGACATCAGGGTGATATATTTCATGAAGGTAGACATGAAAGTGCCTAAATTATTCTGCAGAAACTGTCTAATGAGAATTCAGCTGCTGAAGGAGGGCTTGAAACGTTGCAGTCATACAGACCAGTGCCAGTAGAAAGGTGAAGTTTAAGCATGAAAAAATTAGCATGATAGTGGCTTTAAAGAAAAAAAATCTTTAACTATTTAGGTTCAAATTATGTGAAATAGCCATATGATTTTAGAGTTGGAGGCAGCATGCAATGATCACTGCACTGGCAAAGAGGAAGATGGAGTAAGGACATATTTCTGTGGAATAGTAATTTCTACATGGTCTCATCAACCCTTTAGGTTAGTTCTCTGTAGGACTGCACTTGGTGTGATCAGCTTTTCTTCACTATATTTTCTTGGGGAAGGGAGAGGATGGGAATAGGGGACAGGAAACATAAAAGGGACAAGCAACAAGCAGTTGAAGTGTTACTTTCAGCCTAATAGCAATTGTGATAGCATCTGAGCAATTCTTTTGCTCTCTCAGGAAGAGCATTCTTTCATACATTCTTTTTGTTCCAATAACTTCTACTAGATTTGAAATCAAGAAAAAACTAAAAACAGCAAAAAAGAAAGAAAAGAAAGAGAAAAAGAAAAAGCAAGAGGAAGAGCAGGAGAAGAAAAAACTCACACAGATCCAGGAATCCCAGGTAGGAAATGAAACTGTTCTTGGTAATAAGCCCTTTTCCCTTGGAGAAAGGAAATAGGATATGGCCTCTCTACCCCTGATGTTTTCCCTTAATGTCAAACAGTGTAGGAAGCAGATCAGAATTTAGTTAATGTATATGCTCAAGCTATCTTCAGTTTTTCCAGTTAATTTAATTTCATTAACATCTTTGGCCTATTGAAGGGTGCACTGATACTACTTTAATGAAAAATACAAAGTTGCAGCTGTGTCTGCAGTTGCTATGATAGCCCTCCCACATGAGAAAAGGAGAGCAACCTTTTATCAAACTTCTTTAGCTAAACTTCTGTAGTTCAGTCGGAAACATTCCGTACATGCTCATCTTGAAAAGTTTGAGAGAGCAGACCAAAAACTGCTCAGCTGTCATACTAATTATTTTGCCTGCACATACATGCAGTGGCAAAGATGCTTAGTTTCCTCTGGCAGGGATGTCAACGAAAACCTTGAATGCCAGGAGGAGCAGAAATAGTTTTGTAGTTTTTCTACCTCCAGTAAAAAGAGGACAACACTGGTTTTTGAGGCCAGGCCTCTGTAACTGAACTGTGGTTTCAAATAGTGAAGATCCTGCCATTATATAGAGTCAGGGCAGGTAGGCTCCCGGAGTGGGATGAGATTGATCTTGCTGAACTTCAGCCATCTAAGAACTAGTTGGTTGTTTACACTTTTTGTTGCCCATTGTTTTGTTCAATGGAAGAGAGCATCTTCAGCTGACAATTCATTGTGTTATTTTCTAGTGAAACAGATGTTTAACACCTAAAATCAAATTGGGTGAGAGTTTTCCCTTAGGCACATGTTGAATGGAATGAATCACATTTCCCTACTCCCTCAACTCCATATATGTACATGTGTGTATACTTTAATAGTCCATTTATTTCACAAAGTGTACATGCAAATACATATATGCATGTGTAAAAGGATCTTATTTAGAGTTCTTTTTACAGTGCCTTCAGAAATTACTTCAACTTAGCTGAAATGACTGTCTTTTATGCTTATTTTAGAGACTGCTTTCTCTATAGAGATAGACCTGTTAGAAATGGAAAACACAGGAGGACTTTAAACATTTAAGATTTGGATCTATCTTGCAGATTTTACAGTCAACTTTTTCTGCTTTAAGTATTTTTTAACATAACTTTTTTCTTTGCTACTAAATGGAAACTAGTGCTTTGATTTGGCCTTGCAGAAGCAGCAAATGAGAAGACTATTCATCCAGTTTTTCCTCATTACATGTTATTTGCTGAATTACTTCTGTGTTATTTCTCTAGTCCTTTTTTAACTTAAAGGAGGAATTTTGAGACTAAGACTTGGTGGCAGAAGTGTTGAACTATAAATATGTTCATTATTTTTGATATGAAGCAGAATAAAGAAATATGCTCCAGATTGATTTCCCTTTCTAGCTTCCATAAAAAATGAACTGAAAAAAACTGATTAAAAAAAGGAGTAAGTTAGTAATTTCTATTTGAAAAAATTTCAAAGTATGCAAACAAATTTTTGTTTTGATGCTTTTCAACTTACGGGTTTATGGTGTTGAGAGATTTTCTGTACGTGTTTTTAGGTCATGTCACATAACAAAGAGCGGAGATCAAAGCGGGATGAAAAGCTAGACAAGAAATCTCAGGCAATGGAGGAGCTAAAAGCAGAAAGAGAGAAAAGGAAGAACAGAACAGGTATGAAAGGATATTGCTACAGTTTTTGAGGCATTATTGCAGCTTTCTGAAAGTACTACTTCCTGTTTCAAATTAATGTGACAGTCCTACACCTTGGAGTGAATGAATTCCATGTCTGTGCTTTCCTTGGTCCTTGCCCAACGTGACCACCTAGGGTGATACTTGGCAATTTACCACTGACAGAGTATTCCTAACCCCTACCCCTCCCTGGAGTGGCCTAAAAACAGAACTTTCATTGCAGTCCACTGAATGCCTCTTAGGTTTAATTTATGTGTCTGAATTGGTCACTTGGATTCAGGTTTTTAATCTCTGAATCATTCAAATTCCTACCTATTGTACTTGTGATACCCTGTCTACATTTGCTTGTTTCGTCACTGGCACATCATCTTGTCCATCTTGCCACTGACTTTTGACACATATTTTTTTCTCTACTGGATTTTATTGTGATCTTCTCCAAACTGGAGGGTTTTTTATTTTTCCTTATAAAATAACAATGAGTTTTCTGATCATAATAGTTTTTTTCTTGTATATCCAGTTGTTACACCCATCTTGAATTATTATGTGCAGTCAAGTTGGGAGACAGAAATTAAGTACAACTGAGGTTTAGGATGATTTTAAATACATCATGTACATGCAAAGAGAGAAGTCAATGAAGTGTACTGCTTACTAGTGGATTTGAACATGTGCCACCTGTATCTAGTGTAAAATTAATACCTGTCTGCCTCTTGGATTTTTTTAAAGCAATTAAGGTTCAGCTCTTATAGGGAAGCATTTTATAAAATATTTATAGCTTTTCCTTGTTCTTTGTCCTTCACCCAGCTGAATTGCTTGCAAAAAAACAGCCATTAAAAACTAGTGAAGTATACTCTGATGATGAAGAGGAGGAGGAGGATGATAAGTCTAGTGAGAAAAGTGATCGCTCATCCAGATCGTCATCCTCTGATGAAGAGGAAGAGTAAGTAGTAAACACTGGGCTATGATTACTTGTAAGTATGTTCAAAAATAGAGATCTACTTTTGGTAGACACATGCAATTTTAGAGGATTCTTTGGGGCAGTTCAGTGTCTCTAAAGTGTTTTTGCCTCTTGGCAAAATTGCATTGCTCAGATTTGAGTCCTTGGCACTATATCACGGTTGTTGTTTACCTTGGGTGAGTTTGCAACTTCAGTTCCCTGCTGTCAGGTTTAGCCCAAATTACACTGTTGTGTACTGATTTGTTTAGTCCTGCAGTTCAGCCGCTGCAGAACTGGCATATATCTGGGCAGATACATGTGCTGGCTTATCTTAAAGCTTTAGTCTGTAACTGCCTTGGTGTGTGTCTTTCTGCTTTCTGGTAGGAGGGGCAGTGTTTAATAAGTCTAGGATTTCACATTAAGCCTTTCTTATCAATGCTAAATTCACACATCTACAGTCAACTAGTGCATGATGAATCATTCCTTTTACTGGTAATTTAAATTAAGTGAGCTGCTCATGCTGCACCTTACTCAGGACCCTCTTTCTGGGTTTTGATTACATCTCTACTTTTTTCTTTATTCCCTCTCACCTTTCCCAAATCAGGAAAGAAGAAATTCCTCCCAAGTCCCAGCCGGTGTCCTTGCCTGAAGAACTGAACCGGGTACGGTTGTCGCGGCACAAGCTGGAGCGCTGGTGTCACATGCCCTTCTTTGCCAAGACAGTCACTGGCTGCTTCGTGCGTATTGGCATCGGCAATCACAACAGTAAACCTGTTTACCGGGTGAGTTCAGCTCCGAGGGATTTGGTTCTTTCTGTGTGCTGGAGCAAAATATGTGCAGCTTATCAGGTCTCAGGTACCGGTGACTGTTTGACTGATAAAAAAAGATTGCTTATAACCAGAATATGTAATTGCTGCCAAAGAGGTGGAGGAGACCAGTTTAAGAATAAATAAATCTGTGTGACCACCTAGGGGAGGACATAAATTTAGTGAGAGAGAGCACTAAAAAAGCCTGATCTTCCACTTTTGGTTCATGCTGTCTTACCATTTGTATTGCAAACTAGAGTTCCAGACTCTGCTTAGACCAAGTAAGGCTGAATAAGATTCATTCCTTATTTCTAGGACTGTTCTCAAGATATTGTGTGGTCTTGACTCTTCTTTTACAAAGTTTCTAGTAAACCCCTGTGCCTTCAGAAGAGACTGTATGGAGAACACAGTTTGTTTTTGTGTTTCATTGCTGTAATCATAGGATACAATAATAGTCTCTAAAATTGCCTTAAAATGGTCCCCAGAAGGGTTGTGTTTAGTATCTGAGCAGCAGTAGTGTATTTCATTTGAAACATATGTTAACCCAAACCAGCATTATTTGAGAAGGAAACAGGAAAGGCTGGAAAGTGTACATTATTTGGGCAGGAAGGCAGAGCGGAGAAGATGGAAAAACTGCATCAGGTATTCAGATGGAATCATTTATTAACTCAAAAATTATGTATGAAGCAACTCATTCAGTACCTGATAATATGTACTGAAGAATCTTGCTTTCCTTGATCTGATTTTAGAATTGTTAACTAGGTTAAGGTTTTTTATTTCTAATGAAAAGGCTTGAATATGCCAGATACAATCCAGGAACATGAAAAAAACCCCTAAACCACTCTTGCATCCTTCTTATATATTTTACTCTGTGATACAGGTTGCTGAAATAACTGGTGTAGTAGAGACTGCAAAGGTTTACCAGCTCGGTGGCACACGGACAAACAAAGGCCTACAGTTGCGGTGAGATACTAAAGGAATCCTCTTTAGTTCATAAATCAGTGTCCTTTTCATAGCAAATAATGGTCTGTGTGGGATTTGGAGGTGAGAACTGAAAAGTAGACCAAGCCTTGTCACGCTACTTAATGCTGGAATGTTTGGGTTGGGTTTATTTGGGTTTTTTTTCCTCCTTGTGCATAGTGGAAATTATAAAATACCCCAAAAATTTCATGCAGGGTGTTGTGTTTATGTTGACATGTGGTTTATTTTTGGACTTCTTTAATCAGATTACACATACAGATCCAATGTCACCACTTTACACCATCACAAGAGGATGTTTTGCATTTTATTGTTGCAGGCATGGCAATGATTCACGTGTGTTTCGCTTGGAGTTTGTCTCAAATCAGGAATTTACTGAAAGTGAATTTATGAAGTGGAAGGAAGCAGTAAGTTTGTTAGACTTCAGTTTCTTCTTAGCAGCCTTCTACCAAGCATGCTTTAAGTGGAAAGTAACTCTGTCTTGTGTTTAGATGTTCTCTGCTGGGATGCAGCTACCCACACTAGACGAGATAAACAAGAAGGAAGTGTCCATCAAAGAAGCCCTCAACTACAAGTTCAATGATCAGGACATTGAAGAGGTAAATGGTGCATTATAGTGAAGCTGTGTCAGTGCTTAAAAGCGGCAGTAATTCATGCAGTAGCAGTTACAAAGCAAAATGATCGTGGTATTTGTTTTCCAAGAAGGAAATAAAGGGCTCAAAAGGAAGTTTCTTAACTGGATAGAGTAACTTGGTGCCCTGTTATCTCCTCTTGGTTGCATATCTCTGAACTCCTGAGTATGGCAACTTAGTTCTCAAGTTCTGAAAAACTGGACAGCATCATGGTAGTTGCATTTATCATAGATTTTGCAGTTCTGTACTTCCTTAGTACTGACCAAAGGTGATTAGCATCAGGCTTTTATAGGTGGTGAGGAGAATGGAGCTGTAACTCATTACCAAAGGCACTAACTGAAAAATGGAACCATATGTCAAATTCAGTGGCAATAAATAAATTTCTTAGGTGATACTCATCTGTTGCTTCTAATGTCCAAGTTCTGAAATAGAGATTTCATATTTGCATATTCATGTTTTTTCCTCTGCATCTTACAGATTGTGAAAGAGAAGGAAAGGTTCAGAAAAGCACCTCCAAATTATGCCATGAAGAAAACTCAGCTATTAAAGGAGAAGGTGAGAGATGAGATGATGTCTGCAAGCTTAATGCAGTCTTTGATTTCAAAGAACAGGAGCTCATCTGGGTTGGCAGTAGTCATCAGTAGGCTCAACTTCAACTGTGCAGTGGGAAGGTGGTTCTCAAAGTTCATTGCTGGGATCAGAATACTCAGAATCCAGTCAGCTATTACACCCCTTTTTTTTTTTTTTTTAGGGGCAATTGCCAACAATTTTAGCTGTCTCTTCTTGTGTCGTTAAACAAGGTCTTAACCTGGTCTGCCTCAGAAACTTTTCCTTTTTTCTTAGTTCTTGTTTTTTCTTTTTGGGTATTTTTTGGGTCCATTTTGTTGTTGTTTTTTTTTTTGTTTGGTTTTGTTTGGTTTTGTTTTTAGGGTACCTCGTAATAATGTTTGAAAGTTGATTTTCTCTTCTTATTTTAAGGTAGTAAAACCAGAAGTTGGGTTACATTTTTTACTCAGGGGTAACTGAATTGTCACTTTATTCCTGGTAATTTCTATTGAAAAAAAAGAAGTGGCTGAAAGGTTTACTTGCCACAAACTGGTTTTACCTGTAGTCTTCCTGGAACAAGTAGACCTAACTGCATAAAAGCCAAAGCCAAGAAGTGAAGAAAAGGAGCAGTCTTAAGTATTTCTGAAGATAGGACTGCACGAATAGAACGAAAATTTGTCTGTCTTTCTCGAGACATTAAGGCTTCATATACAGTAAAACCCAAGAGTTTGTATTAATATACATTTCTTGGTTCCTTAGTGTAACTGTATTTTTCTGGTCACTATTTTACTACACATGAACATGTAAGTTATTATGTTCCCGTCACAGCGAGTGCAGTTGCTTTCGTTGTCACCAGGTGGCACAATAAGCTGTTGTCGTGCCTCAGGGGACTCTCCGCTCCCTGAAGTAAATGGCAGCTGGCAGTTGTGGCAATAATTCTTTTCCTGACGTGCTAAATGGGCATGTTAAATTTTAATAAAACTTGTAACTTAAGTCATCTAACTGACCTGTCCTCCCCGTGCTGTACTGGTGTTCCTACATCCTCCTTACTGCAAGGGTTTTCAGAGTTCCTCAGAATAAGAAATCCAGTTTTGCCTTGAGCTGTAAGGAAAGTGTAGCTCTTTGCTGTACTCTTACCATGCAGGGAAGAACATTCATGACTGGAGTAGGGTTGGCTGACTGATTCGTGGATATATCCGTTGTCTCTCTGAGTAATTCTGGGTAGAGAGTAGTGCCTAATGAGTTCCTGTTTGGTTAAAGGCTATGGCTGAGGATTTGGGGGACCAAGATAAGGCCAAGCAGATTCAAGATCAGCTTAATGAACTTGAAGAGAGAGCAGAGGCCCTGGATCGTCAACGAACAAAAAACATTTCTGCAATCAGGTAAGAAGCAGATATTGGGAATTTTCTTTCTTAAATAGTATCAAACAATATCTAAAAAAGAGAAACTAATGCATTAACAAATTAACTGCAGGATTTTGTTTCTTTTTTCCTGTACAGTGTGTTAATGTGTATTGTAATGGCTCTATTAGTGCTTGTCTATCTTCACTTTCTTGTATCTTCATGCAGTTAAAACTGTCAAAAATGTAAACTCTTTTCTATATACCCCAGGGGGCAGTTGCATTGCAATAAGAGTAATTTGTGGTCAGGATGAAGCTGCAAGAATGCTTTCAGCTGTTTTGCTGTGTAGGGACTAATAAATGACAGTCACTTTTTTTTCTTTCCCCCACCCTCCTTTTTTTTCCATTCTGCAGTTACATCAACCAGAGAAATAGAGAGTGGAATATCGTTGAGTCTGAGAAGGCTCTTGTGGTAAATAGTGCTGAATTAATACTTTTCTACAAGTAGAGATGAAATGATGCAAAGAGGGATAATTGCATGGCAAAGTCACTAATTTTTTTAAATGATCTGCAAAATCTTTCATATAGGCAAATGACATGATTTGAAAGCACATTGCTTTATCCTTTTGCTCAATTCAGTTATTGGCAGATTAGTCACTATAAGAGTCACTTAATGCTTGTTATATGGGAAAGAAAAGAAGTCTCTTCATAAAGAAGACTTCAGATAATAAACAGTGAAGGAGATATTCAGTGCTTTGTGGTTACATTTTTATTAAGGAAGAGTTAAGCTTGTTAACAAATGCTTAAGCATTAACCGTCCTGAGAGTTGTGTGCCTATTTTCTGTTCTTGCATGCAATAAGGACAGTTTTGTCTTGTGAAGCACAGGACGATGGGTGCATTAACATCTTTCTAATTTGTAATGTTGTTGCTGGTTTTTCTCTGATCTTGGTATTGTATATAGCAGATGAGTAATTGCATGGATGGGGGGCTGTGGGAGGATTTAAAAGAGTACAAGTAGCAAACTCTGCAAAACTGTGTGCTATTTCTTCTCCAGGCTGAAAGTCACAGCATGAAAAACCAACAAATGGACCCCTTTACTAGGCGGCAGTGCAAGCCCACAATAGTGTCTAATGTGAGTGTAAGACTTAAGTTCAGTTGAGAAAATTTGTTGAGAAGCAGAAACCAATGTAATGCAGAATGTAGGAACAAAAATTCCCAACTGTGCCATATGCTATTAACGCCCTGAATGCCAGTGTGAGATACAGCTGAGTGACATCCTGGTCCCTCTTCTTTTTTAATGCAAAGTGTGAAGGACATAAGTGATGTGGGTATGTACTGCAAAAGCAACCATGATCATCGAGACTTCTGTCATGAGTTCATCTATGTCAAATTATTCAGATTCAGTTAACTCTGGGAAGACAGTTTGCTTTAGGTGTGAGTTTCACTTTTAATTAGCTGAAAGTTTCCTAAAAGATCAGTTTAAGGTGAGAGCAGAACAAACATTTTGGGCCTGTGATGGCTGAAGTAGTTAAACAAAAGCCTCCCTCGTGATACTGTGGCAAAACCTTCTCCTGCAGTCCCTCTGTATATAATGAGTAATGATGTTACTCCGTGATGAGTGACAAGGTGATCTCCTCCTTCTCAGTAATCTGGCCTTGTTGAGGTCTGTTTTGGAAGAGTATGTGGTTCTGATAAGTAGGTACCTAAAAAACCAAGTGCTCAGGTTGGCTTTCATCAATCTCCACAAACCAGCAAGGAAATAAAAGAGAAATTCTATTGCAGGGTTTGAATGAAATATTTCTGAAAAACTTCTTTATTAGAAAAGAATTGTAACTGAGTAGCTTTATTATGCTAGAGAACTATTAGGTAAAGAAAATAGTCTTCTATAGTCTTCTTGTCTGTGTTTCAGGCAGAACTGTAAGCTGAAAGCAAATACATATTACAGTAGCATTAAGAGTAGTCACAGAAACAAACCATATAATCAGGAAATGTATTTCTGGTTTTTTTTCTGAACATGATTTTTAGTTTGTTATTGTCAGATAATGTCAGGATGATTTCAGTAGCCTTCTGAGATTCTGAAAGTTGGGTGAATGCATATACAGTCTCTTACGATTTTAGATTCATGGATATGAACACTGTTTTAACAAAATGTAGTTCTACCTTTTACAAATTTAAATGCAGTATTTTTTTTTTATTTTTGCCTAATATTTCACCCTTGCAGTCCAGAGATCCTGCTGTCCAAGCTGCCATCCTTGCCCAGCTAAATGCAAAATACGGATCTGGTGTGTTACCAGATGCTCCAAAGGACATAAATAAGGTAAGTTTCTATTGGTCTCTGTTATGTTCCTTGCCCTTTTGCTCTGTGAAGCTTGTGAGTAATAGCAGGTGTCCGTGCTTCAATTCTAGAACAGGGTATCCTGTAGACCTTTATCATAAAAAAGCAATAGTTTCTTGGTTATTGGAAAAGGAAATTTAAGTTGCTCTAGCAGTATGCAAGCTACACTAGGTATGTTTATGACAGAAGAGGGGAAAAAACATTTTTCTCTGTTTGTATGGCCAGATAAGGTTTGGAGACTTACCTGTAGTTTTCATTTCAGGGTCAAGGAAAAGATAAAGATGTGAACTCTAAATCAGCTAGTGACCTCTCAGAAGATCTTTTCAAAGTGCATGACTTTGATGTAAAGATTGATCTTCAGGTTCCCAGTTCAGGTAGGTGTTCCATCTGAGTTTCGAGATGTGATTGTCCAGCCCAGTTTGATAGAACTTACTTCTTCCAGAATAATTTTTTCAAAATTTTTTTGTGGGCTTTTGAAAATGGGAGTCAGGACTCTGTTTACCATCTGGGCAAGTATCTTGAACTGAGGAGGAGGGGATATGTGATAGTGCCATTCATTGAGAAAACAAGAACAACCAGACTGTGTTAGACTAAAAGCCTGTATGTCCCCATATCATTGTTTTGAAGCCTAGGGAGAGAAGAAGAAAATGAGTGGGCTTTAATATGCTCTTCCAGTCTATATTATCTATAATAATCGTGCATAATCTTTGGGGAAAAGACGGGTGTTGTATTTAAGTGTTGGCAGCTACCTTGATGCTTACTTTGTTAATTTGTCTAATAACTTTCAATGACAGATAAGCTGTGTGTCTGTTCTGTGTGTTCTGTTCTGTCCTCTGTGCACACGCTGTGGGGATAAGGTGTTTTTACTCGATTTTGAATGTGCTGCTTTACCAAGTTGCTGTTCTCTTAACGTAGACATTGCAGATGGTATTAAAGCTAAATTTTAGGGGAACGAAAACATTGACCAGTGAGTGAAGATAATAGACACAAACTTGCTGGCTCTTCCTCCTTGTTATCTTTACTTTGACAGCAGGAGATGTGTGACAAGAACAATTGTGTATCATAGGATCATTTTGATTGAAAAAGACCCTCAAGATTATTAAGTCCAACCATTAACTCAGCATTCACAAATCCACCACTAAACCAGGTTCCCATGTGCCACAGCTACACATCTTTTAAATACCTCCAAGGATGGTGACTTAACCACTTCCCTGAGCAGCTTGTTCCAATGCTTGACAACCCTCTTGGTACAGAAATTTCTCCTAATATCCAGTCTAAACCTCCCTAGTACAATTTGAGGCTATTTTCTTTTGTCCTATAAAGTTGTTTTCCAGTGGTAGGAAAGCATGGGAGGAGTATACCAGTGCAATTTGGCACATAAGGTTTAGTATTTCTTTCATTAATTGAAGGATTAGATCTGCAGTTTCTTGGAGGACAATAATTGAGTAAGAATGCACAAAGACAAATCGTGTCAAGAAGCAAGAGCAGGAGAAGTTTTTCCAAACTAGGTCAATATGGAAACTCTGGATGTTAGACTAGAGAATGAGGCAGGAGTTCAAGAACAAGAGACTTCATGTAACAGTTAGAGTTATAACTAGGTCAATATGGAAACTCTGGATGTTAGAGAATGAGGCTGGAGTTCAAGAACAAGAGACTTTGTGTAACAGTTAGAGTTACGAACTTGAGAGTAAGCAAGCAGATGAGGGTTGGGCATTGAAAGACACTGAAGAGAGAAGGATGAGGAGCACAGTTTTCCTTAGACAGAACACCATTTTGGCATCTTATTTTGTCTCCTTGCTTGCTTAGCAGAAGGAGAGAAGGATGAGGAGCACAGTTTTCCTTAGACAGAACACCATTTTGGCATCTTATTTTGTGCAGTCTCCTTGCTTAGCAGAAAAATCTGGAGACTGATGAAAATGTGTGTTGTAGATATAGATAAAACGTTTGACTTTTTCTGCTTACTGTCTGTCTCTGGATTAACATACAGAGTCAAAATTGCATGTGCTGCATCTATGAATATAAGCTCCCCGATACTGTCTGTATTATTAACTGAAGTTCTAACCTGATGTGTACTAGAGAGTCCAAACATGATTTTGTGGTGAAGTTGTCAGCAAAAACAACAAGTAAAAATTTATAGTTTGCCTGTAGTTTTGTCCTTACTCTTTTCTTGTCCCCAACAGAATCTAAGGCACTGGCCATCACCTCCAAGGCTCCTCCAGCAAAAGATGGTGCCCCTCGGCGATCGTTGAACTTGGAGGACTACAAAAAGAGACGGGGGCTTATTTGAGCATGCCCACTCTGCTGCTTCTGATCCTGCATGCTCCATGATGATGTCCTACTTTTTCTTCCTCCCTTTTAAGTTCTCCCTTCTGGGTTGGAGCAGCAATGGAGCTGGGAAGAGACTCTTTAAAACTGCCAGTCATCTGTAACATAAACCATTCAACTATTTACTGTATAGACCTCCCTTCTTGCCCTTTCCTCTGCTCCCCTCACAAATGTGGATCTGTGCTATTTGGGGTTTTCCCATTTCTTTTAGTTTGAGTTTTGTTTTTATTTTGTTGATGCAGCTCGTTGGTCCACTCTGTGTTCAGTATTAGCCTGAGGTCTGGATTTCCATAGGAGTCTCTTGGCAGTCACAGAATCAGCACTTGGTGATCTCCCCTTGCATACCACCACAGGCACAGTGAATTGGCGCCAAGACCTTTGTGGCTGGAAGGTCATCTGCACTTTCTCCCTCTTCTTCCTCCTTCATCCTAGCTTTGGAGAAGGGAATCTTCAAAAACTGGCCTAGGTTCAAAGTGTAAATTTTTTTGGGAGGGTTGTGTGACTTTTTTTCAGGTGTTTTTTATCATTTTTAAGCTGCAGTACTATTTGTATCCGTCTGTCACAGTTCTTTACGGCTGTTTGAATTTCTACCAGCTGTACTTGAGCATCTGAAATTGCAAGAAAGAAACTCATTAAATGTGATTCTTCTTACTAAAATGGCTTGGCTGATATAGCTATTTAACTTCATGTTCTCTTTTTTAATTACACTTAACCCATGAGAAAGAGGTACACAGCTCTTAATGTGGGACTTGTCATCTATAGCACATCCAGACTCTACAGCTGTAACTGGGTGAAGTAGCTTTTTATGGGGTGATCCTGGGGAGCTCATTTGGTTGGGCTTTAGTTTCTTCTCCAAGCCTTCAATATATATTTGTTAAGTTATCATGTCTTCACTGGACTCCAGCTTACTTTGTTTCGCTTTCTGAAGCATTTAAATGGGGCTTCTATCAATAAACAAATTTTTTTTAAAAAATCACGTTCCATGGAAGGGGAAGGACATAATAGAAAGATCAGTGGGTAATATGAGAGGTAGGTGATGGACATTTTTCACATATAAACTGGTACAAGTGGAGTGCAACACAAGCACAAGAATTATATGGCTTTATGGAATATTTGACTAGGCACAAATTGACAGCTAAATTATCACTCAGGTGTAAAAAAGAAAAAAAAATCAAATGTAAATATAAGTGACATTTAACAAATAACTTTTCCAAACAAGATACAACTGAATATATGAAACTAAGAACTAAATTAAAAGAGAATTAGAAGTCTAAAAGGTTAGAGGCCCTCGTTCAGGTAAGCGTGCAAGCACGTGTGTGTTCCTACTCAGGCCAGTACGTATATAACAACTTCAGCACTGCACTGGATAGGAATGTTTCTGAGGGACTCTAAGGAGGGAAAATGCAATGCTCTTCTTGTGTCAGAGCATTGCTGTTTTTCTGAAACCATACACTGGTTATCTTAAAACCTGTGTTTGATACTTTCTTGTTGGATTCTTAATGAAACTTTAATCTAGTTCTTATTTAACTTTCTCTTCCTTTTTTTAACAGTAGCTTTAAAGAAACATCATGTAATGTGTGCAGATTGATTCTACGAACTGTGTATAAAAAGAAAATCAACGTATGAAACCTACCATGTAAACAAATAAATAGAAATATTTCAGTACTTATTTACTGAATAGTCCACAGTTCTAGGACATGTGGATTATTCTGTAAATATGTAATCATAGACTACTTTATTTGATGGCCTATTTTAGCAGCTTCTCTGGAGTTACAGTAGGCTGTCACATATACATACTTAAAACTTTCTAAGATTGGATTTATGGAATGTACCATCATAACTTCATAGGAAATGTTGTGATTCACTGTGTAGATAAGCATTTGATATTATTTGGTTTTTTTAACAGCTAAAGTGATTTGTGATTAAAAAAAAAATTAAACTTACTTTGCAATAGACAGTTTTAAAAATAATCACTCTCTAATGGTTTGCAGAAATAATTGCCAAATCAAACAGTTCAGGAACTGATTTTTTCCACAGAAATGCCTCAGAGCTCTGAGATGCAGTGACAAGTGGTGTCTAAAGGTAAATTTAACCCAAATATAGTATTTTTAATATGCTTGGCCTTGATGTATTTTAGTTAACTTCTACATTTGGTAACACAAGACTATCTGTAAAACACCAAAATGTGGATGAGACCCATACAGTGTTGCAAGTAACTTTTAGTAGAGAAAACTGAAACATGGGAGATGCAGTGAGTTTAGGATGCCAATCTGAATGATGGACTATGTCCTAGTTATCTGCAATTATGAAGCTGCCACTTACCTTCTCAAAGTCTCTGGGTTTTGATAAAATACTGTTTTTCAGAGAAGGCAACCGTCAGTAAATTATGCAAACCTCTTATATTGAGAATAATACATGAAGAAAGTACTCTTGAACAGTTACATAATTGTATGAAAGCTGTAATCTTTTTTCCTTTAAGTGCATGTAAAGGTGAGTGACTACACCTCCCACTTGTTAGAGAGGGAGAGATTTGTTTACTTTGTTTCATTGGTGTCCTAGCATAGTTCATCACAATTGTACAGACCTTATATAAATAAACTTGGTTTGTTGGTTTAATAAGGTTGATTGTTTATCCCTTGATCTGAGGTGCTAAGGGTTTCCTGTCTAGGTCTTTTTTTTCAGAAACTGACACTTCATTTATCAGTTTGGACTATTATATTTAATACTAATATTGTGAAATAATTAATGAAAAGTAAGTCCTCTTTCTTTGCAAGAGCAGCTGTTGACTCCCAGATCACTCTGTAACATCTGGAGTTGGTCCTTTTCTCTAGACTCAAATGGAGCCTCTTGGAAGGTTGGTTCACTTGCACCTCTACTGCATCTCACTTAAAACACAGACTTTGCTTGTCTTGTAGAAATCCAGTCTACTTTTGTCATCAAAAATGCTAAAGCATATAGCTGAACTTAAAGAAGCTACTGAGTAAGGTGAAACAAGATTTCTCAGGGGCGCTCAGTGTGAGGATGAGATACAACAGGCGTAATTTGAAACAGGGTAAGTTCTGCCAAGATGTAATATTTAAAAAATTACCCTTAGGACAGTTAAATAGTGAACTAGGTTGCCTGAGAGATTTTTCTGTCTCTTTTGGAGGTTTTCAAGAGAATGCTAGATTATAAGGCATGAGTAACACGATCCAGTCTTGTAGCTTACCCAGCTTTGAGAAGGAGCATGGATTGGGGATCACCCTGAGCTCCTTTCTGATCTGAATTAATGTATGAGTCCATTTTGACATGCAGAGTAATGCAGCACCCAGAATTTGTCTCACAGACATGGTGGCTTAGGGTGAGCAGTGCAGGATTTCCCAACACACATCCTTTGTGAGACTCTGGTTGTGGACACCTATAGGGTTCCTGCTAGGGCTGTGAAACTAAATTGTCCCTAGAGTGCAGGATTTCCCAACACACATCCTTTCTGAGACTCTGGTTGTGGACACCTGATTAACCGCTGAGCAGGCTGGAAGACTTGGCCTGGAAGTTTGAGTTAAGAGCTCTGAGATTTGCTTAACAAAGTGTTCCTTGCTATACTTGTGAGTTGTAAATTAGGTACTTAAGTTACTGATACATATGCAGTCTTACTTTCAGCACAGTAGTTTAGTCTTTTAGAGGGAAATGCTTAAGTAGCCAAACTTTTTTCTTTTTTTTTTTTTTTTAATCTTGCACTCACTGGTTTTACCTTACCACCATCATCAACTGCTTCAGATTTCAGATCACCTCTTACACTCAGTAGCTGAAGGAATCTCAAATGAGCAATTTTTAAAGTCTATTGTGTGTGGAATTATCTGGGTAAAAAACAAAACCCAACCCTCAACTTAGGTTTCTGCTTGGTTAGTTGGACTGTGGAGCTAGTAAATATGGAGAGTTGTAGGTAATACCTTAAACTTCTACAGCTCTTTGGAAAGCCAGCCATTCAATACTTACTTGGGGTTTTTTGTGCCTTGACATGTATCAAGATGTTAAAGGCTCCTGTGGCCCAACTATCAGGCCATAACAGGTAGGCATCACCCACATAACTCCAGGCTTTGGAGACTTGCCTCTTTTTATTTAGTATACTTCTTTCTGCTGAGAAGATGCAGTATTGAGCTAAGAGTATGAGCAGTTAAAGAAGGTAAATTAAAGTAGGAACTTCTCAGAAATAGCCAATATATTGCCATTACCTATCAGTCACAGAAGGCAGGGTATTGATAGTACTTAGGATGATGTATCTGGTATTTTATATGAGACTGCATGTAGACTGTGTCTAATTTTGGGGTTCCCCAGTTCAAGGAAGATTTCAGCCACCTGAAACAAATTTAGTGAAAGGCCACCGAGATGGTCATGGATTAGGGCTTGTTCAGCTTCTTCCAAGAAGGTGATGATGAGCACTGTAATAGTGTATTATGGCTGTTAGTAACAGGCCATAAACTTAGTACTGAGTCTGCAGGCCTGAGGAGGGATATCATGCTTCCCCTTACGAACCTTCTTTGGCCTGCCTGTATCTTTGCTTTACATAGCTTTGCTATAACAATTTCTATAACTGGCCGGGTGTCTGTGGTTAATTTTTTTTACTTCTGTTTACCTGTAGGTGGTGCAACCATAGTTTTATATATGTAAGAGTATTAAGCAGGTATTTTATGTGCAATAAGTTATTTATGACCAAAATGATGATGTGGAGAGAAATGCAGGCATGTTATGTAATAGCAGGCCTTTAGAATTGGAAACAAAGGATGTAGAATAGAAGAATACAGATTAATGATGGGGCCCATGTGTGGAACTGGAAACCCCACAGTCCTGTATTCGTGGGTGGCTACTCACCAGCAGTCAAATATGGGGGTGGGGGCATTTGGGTCTTTGTTTGGGCTGTGGTTTTTTTTGGTGAGGTTTGTTTTTTAGTAGGTTTTTCTGATTTTGTTGTTGGTTGGTGGTGGCTTTTTTGTTTGGCTTGGTTTGGTTATTTAAGGCAGAACAAGAACTGGACAAAATTGTGTTTAGGAAGTAACAGAAAAAAGAAATCACTAATAACATATGTGAAGTGCTCATATATATTTGGATTTGAAGGCAAATAAGGAAAAATAAAGATGTAAAAGCATGTTGGCAAACATAAAAACCACCCCAAGTAGATCATAGAGAGGGAGAAAGAAGAAAGCAGCAGCATATTCCACCCAACAAAGGACTTCAGATGCTGATGGCTTCAAGTTATCTTTTCCAGCTATCTGGAGATGTTGATTTTGAGATGTAGAGTAACAGTAGAAGGGTGAAAATAACCCCTAAAAAGGAGGGAAATGGAGAAATGTGTCTTACAAGTTTATTACTGCAACTTCTGTGTAAAAGTACACAACCTGTATTGTTGTTCTTTTCCTATAGTAATTACATCTACACTAATAAACTAATTGGGTTAAGATTTCCATGTGCTAATAATAAATTCTTAGCTTTACTTGTATATATGTTATGCTTCCTCTTTACCCATAAACAAGATCTTCAGTGTAACAGAAGATGCAACTTCAGGAGGAGCTAATAGCAGCCTTCCAGTGAATGTGGAGAGGTGGTCAGAAAAGTCTGCTTTTTACTGTTGTGGGTTCTGGGAGAATTAGAGACAATGGTATAATTTGAAACTACAGTTTTCA